CACACACACACACACACACACACACACACACACACACACACACACACACACAAAAAAAGGTCTACACTGCCCCAATTTGTTTTTCACAGAGGTGTCGTTACCAGGAACAGGTACTGGACAAGCATGACTTGTGCCACAAAGTTCAGACGGTCCTCTGAATCTTTGGCAAATGGCATGAAGAACTAAAGATGTGAGAAAGCTGTTAACAGAGAGCGATGGGGTGCAGCGGCCACAACACCCAGGCGGTGGAGGGGCTCGTGTGCAGGCTGATTGAAGTGGTGGGGTGAATCTGCTGCCAGGCCAGGGCTTCGACCCTGAGGCTGCGCATGGGGAACAGTTTGACATTTCATAACATAGATGGGACTTTGCAGTAAAAACAGTAGCTTTTGGAGTTTGGTTTCACATAAACTCCCTTCAATGCAAAAAAGATTTTTGCAAAAGCTTTGTGTTGGAGTCACCAAAAACAGTTTTTATAGTTTCTTTGAAGTTAGAGAGGATGTCACAGTTTTTACATTCTGGAAATTGCTTTTTTTATTTTTAGAGAAGAACTCTTTAAATGCAGGCAAAAGAGAGGAAACTGTCAACTGTAGAACTTTTTATACCTCTCCAAGTGGTAACTTTCGCTCTGAAACATTTCAAACCACCATGTAGTCAAAAAAAAAAAAGAAGAGAGAAGCCAGGTGGGAAATTTATAGGCACCATTGCAATTGCTCAGAACAAATGTGGAATATTTGAAATAAAATAAAGAAATAACTGGATGATTAGGAAACTAGAATTATAATCATGTTTTTTGAATCTCCGGCAGTCAATTTGAGGAACGCACTCAGCTCAGGTTCTGCTGACTTTATGAGACCGAGCCGAAGCCTTGCTGACCTGAACGATGAGAGCAGGATGTCAGTGCTGACAGCAGCAGAGAGGAGCCAGCTGCACGAGCACATCCTGATGGTGGCGCTGTGCCAGAATGGTCAGAGCCGCGGTACAGGAGGAGCGAGACTCTTAGCTAATTATAGCCGTGGTCTAAGACGGGAGGACAGCTGATGACTACAGCTGATGACCGTGCCAGTTAGACTTCCTGTAAGAGTCATGGAGGGTGAGCAGCAGGTGTCTGCTCGGGTTTGTGTTTGTGGGTCAAAAAGTTAGTCAGCAGATTTTAGAAATGCACACGTGACTGAGTTTAAAAATGGTTTGAGATTGATTAGCAGGTTTAAGATAAAAGGAAACATCCATGTCAAATAAAAACCCACCCTGTAAATGATTTTTTATCACAATAGTCATAAAACTGATGCTTTTCAAACTTTTTAAATAATGCAAGAAGTTCATATTTCTCTGCTTTGATCAGGAGAGTGTATAATAATCTCTGTACACACCTTAGGGCCTTGTCTTCCAGGGTAGCCAGGCAATCCAGGGACTCCGAGTTTCCCCTAGAAGATAAAAAAAACACATCTGAACTTTAAGATCAGGGATATTAAAAAACTTTAATAAAGAAATATTATGTCTGTATGCACATATTTTATTTTCATCTTTTTTTAAGGAGGTCAAAGGTTTTCTCTTGTTAGTTTTTCCTAACATGGGAGCAACTCCTACACTGGTTTTACAGCACCTGGTATTCCCAGGTGGTCTCCCATCCAAATGCTACCCAGGCTCATCCTTGCTTAGCTTTTAAGACCAGATGAGATCTTACTTGTGCATAAATATCTGTTTCACTTTAATTTACTGTCTATTGGCATTTAAACACAATAAAAAATCAAACTTATAAATGGAAAAGCTTTGGTATTGAGAGTTGATTGTTTACCTTTTCTCCAGCTAAACCCAAAGGACCTGACTCTCCACCTGGTCCTGCCTTTCCCTTGGGACCTTCAGGGCCATCTTCTCCTCTTGGTCCTTGTACACCAACCTCACCCTGGGGAAAAAATGTAAATGTGTTTTAGTTCAGCTACATTTCAACTCTCTGCAAATTAATAATAATAAAATAAATCAGCTTTCTCTTTAGGGATGATAAAGTACCTTGTCCCCCTTGATGCCCATGTCACCTTTGAACCCAGGAAATCCATCTTCTCCCTGCAAGTAAAGGTGTTAGTGAAGAGCTGAAGGACTCAGAGACAATAGTGAATTTAAAAAACCTGATTTAAAATGTAACTGCATTAAACTAACAAACTCAGCCTCTAAATAAAACGAGTTTTATAAATAATTTTGACCTCTAAAAGTGAAAGAAGTTGTGTGAAAATTTAAAAGAGTAGATTTTTGAAAAAATCAAACAGGGAAGGATTGAGAAAGGTTTATACTGACATCTACTGGACATTTCAGCAAAGCTTTAAATGTGGCCATGTAGAAAATACAGCTTTCAATTTATCGTCTCTTTTACTCTGCTGACATCTAGTGGTTCAAACTGAGAATGCAGTTTTCAATTTGTTAACATTGTTTCATTTTTTAGGTGCTTTTCATTCATAAAATAAATAAACCAGATAAAAAAGATAAAAAAAATCACAATATAATGTAAGAATTAATTCAAAGTGGGAAAAAGGATAAATTAAAAACACTGGGTTGTGTGTAAAGAAAGTAGACTTTTAGTGTTTGTGTTTTATTGTGGAGCTTCAGTGTCCTGATAGTTGAATCTACACAGAGCTAACAACTAGCCACAAAAAAAGTCATTTTCTGTTCGACGTTTCACACTCCATTACAACTTTGTGGCTTGGGCTCGTAACTGCCAGCCTGATGGGCCTTTGAAACAGTTTCCACTTGCCTGATTCAGTGGAAGCTGAATTTTAAAGCGATTTACAACACTGATGAAGACTGACATCTGTCAGCCATTTATGAGGAGACTGGAGAGGTGTTTACCTTTTCTCCTTTGTCACCTTTAAGGCCTCTGATTCCCTCGGCACCCTATGAGATGAACAAAACAGAATTAAGTATGAGAAAAAAGATCATTCACTGCAGTAGGGAATCACTTTACAGCCACTAAGAAGCTTACTTTTACACCACGAGGACCCGGATAGCCGATGGATCCCATTGGACCAGGAAAACCCTATAAATCATAAAGAGAAAATGTGTTAGAAGTTTAAGCCTGGCCTTTTTTTATTTCTTGTAAAAAAAACTCATATTTTCATTTGTATTATTGGGATCCATTTATGTAATCATCATTTTAAAAATGGGAGCATTTAAGGGGCTGAAATACATAAAGTAATTGGACTTTTTTGTTCACTCAATGAAAGACATAATTTTCTTTATACTGGTGCCATGTTTACCACCCAGAACAAAGTCGTTTGTCGTCGGCCAAGATGTTTACATCAAGACTGTGTACTCCCACTTTGGTTGCCAAACATTTAGTAATTTGCGTGGTAATTTAAAACCTTTGGCCAGATCCTGGGAGCCACAGTTTATTTGCCGTCCCACTCTTGATGAATCTTTAAGAACATCTGCAATCAGGCTCTTCAGTGTAAAATCCCGACTAACAAAGAAAACCACGTTCAACTCACGACTGTTCCTTTCTCGCCAGGAGGACCCTCTTTGCCAGGGTGACCCTATGGAAGCAAATTTTCTCAGCTGAGTATTTGGTTATTAGGATTTTGTGGAATAGATACAGTATGACATCATGGTGCCACTTACAGGAGGACCATCAGCACCAGCAAGTCCAGCCAGACCTTGTTTCCCCTGAGGTCCCTATAGAGGCAGAAAAAAAACAACCTCTTTAAAATATTTTAATAGTTCTTCAAAACCACAAACAAGCCCTTTCTTTAAAACAAAGTATTAGAACTCATGTCTGTTTCTGCTTTCAAAGAAACTAATCTGCAGAACTATTTAGTGAGACATGCACTGATCAACGCAACAGATTTGTGGAGAACAAAAAATGGTTTCTGGCTTCTTTTTTTCTACTTACTTTTTCACCAGGAGGCCCAATTGGACCTTGAGGACCAATAAGACCCTATGTGACAAGAGAGACAAAAACATTAAAGTGGCAAAGATACATGTGTTTTTTTTATACAATGTAATGCTCTACTGATGGAAATATTAGTTAGATGCGTTCATGGAGGGTTTTTGTCTGTACTTTTCTAAGATATTGTAAAAATTCAACTTGTGAAAAACAAATAAATCAGCAGGGAATCAGTACATTTGCTGAATATCCGTCTTTACAACTAAAGTGACTGAGTTTTTTTTAAATTCATGGGTACAGGTTCCCAGTAATACTTTCCAGCTTAATGACACAGTTGTGTTCACGCTGTGATCATCGGCAGGGCTGAAAGTCGCACAGGGGAGTGGTCTGTCAGCTCTGGCCACAGCATCAGGTGTACTGTTTTATATTAAAGCTGACTCAAAACATGGAACAAGTTGTCACCAACTGGATTATCTGGTAACGTTAGGTTCTAAAACACATGTACAACATGAAGAAAGTCTGCTCTATTTTAGCAGTTTAGATTAAAAAAAAAACCTGACACTTAAAGTTATGTTTTTGATGAAAGTTTGGAGACAAAACTGCAGGAGATTAAAAATTAAGGAACATATAGGATGAAGGGAGAGGGAGGAGAGGGAACGGAAAAAAGAAATGTCCAAACCGTTTTGATTTAGAAACCAGAACTGAGAAAGATCATTCAAGATTATACAACTCCCTGTTGCCCAGTCAAAATGGCAACGTTGATCCAGAATGAAAAGAGCAGACAGGCAGAGAGCAGAGGGGAAAGGAGGGATGAATAACTATAAAAGAAAACAGAATACAGAAGAAGAAAACATTAAAAGACAAAGTGATCAAAGTAAAGATGTGTGTTTATAGATAATGAAAAAACGTACATGTGGACCAGGTAGGCCCTGTTGCCCAGGAGGTCCTGGCTCTCCTTGTGGACCCTGAACAGAAACAAGAAAACACCAAAAAATGTACTATTTCAAGCAATGAAGTTACATTTTTAACAATTTTTAACCTAACTAATACAGCTTTACAATGTCAAAAATACATAATAATCCTGGTAATGAAAATAAATAAGGACACATTTAATTTATAGAGGTTTTAAAGGAGGAGTGAACCCTGCAAAGTCCTGAGGTGCAGGGGAGAAGAGTGTGATGACTTGTTCTGGCATCTTTGCTTTAATCAGCAGGGAGCCATTTGTCAGAAGCCAAAAACACACAGAAAAACACAAATATCCTTTTCTCAGACGTGACAAGCTGTCACATAAAGATGTTTAAAAAAAACTCTCCACTCCAGCTGTTACAGAATAAAAATGTCTGTAGAGAAATTTACTCTCATTGACAACTGAAATTATATTTGGTAAATCTGTTTTAATATAAAGAATGTTAAGAAATCCCACTTTGGTGACTGCACTAAACTCATGTTACACAGCCTATTTATTTATATTTTCTTTAGTGATTTAGTGATCACAACAATTAGACTTATTCAACTTTCTTCCCTATTGAGCTGCTGAAGCTTATTTTAAAAATCTCACTAAGTGAAGAAAGACAACAAGATGAGATCATTGACACACGATAAAATCTAACAGCTCAGCTATGAACTCAACCCTTTGTCGTGCTCCACTGGCGTTACAGGTCACTGACCTGCAATGAGGCGAGCTCTGATAACAGACAAGTAGCTTAGGTGGTCCCTACAAATCTGAGTTTCTACTTTATTTTTTCAAAGAGACAAAACACAAACACTGACCATGTTTCCTTTAGGACCAGCCTGTCCGTCGAGTCCATTAAGACCCTACAGAGAACAGAAAAGAATATTTCAATGAAACTCTGCTGAGCACGAAGAAACTGTATAAAAGGGATAAGTGTTGAGTTTGATTGAAGAAGGGCATATTTACAGGCGGTCCTGGAGGACCTGGGGACCCTCTGGGGCCAAGCAAACCTCTAGGACCCTATTATCAAAGAGAAGAAAAAGAGTTAAAATTACACCCATTAAAAAGTGAACAAAGACTTGATTTAAAGCATCACAGTTCATTAACTTCAACATGTAAAGTTGTGCAGCAGATCAGTTGCTCTGAATATGTGAAACACTGACCCCCCATGGGGTCGTGGATGGGAACTGCAGGCCTAAAATATGAATTAAAAAATTCTTTCCGTTTCTCAAGTTCTTCAGATATGCACTTAAATTCTGTTTAAGTACTTTGCTCTTTTAACTTACAGCCAAGCGCGTGATGAAATACTGTGAAACTATTCCTATAAAAGGACAACGTCGCTTTGGGTAAAAACGGGGAGCAAACTTTTTCTCATGCAACTCTTCGGTCCATTTGAGCAGCGCTTGGCAGAGTGAGCAGCTTTCTCGTAGATAATCACAAAACAACACTTGAAAAACGGTTCTTTTGTGGCAAAGTCAAGATTAGAAAGGAAATGATCCCTGAAGACGGGCTTTCCATTACAGTCGCATGATAGCAAGACTATTAAAATAAGTGAGAGAAAAAAAAAGCATTCAAAGGAAAGGTGTGTAGACTCATAGTTTTACTAAATAACAGTAAATATACTCACACTCTCTCCTGCCAAACCTCTCTGCCCAACCTGGCCATCTTCACCCTTTGATTAGACAAAAAACAAAGTAATATTAGGACTTCCAAACGTGAAACCAGACAAACTGTAACCAGTGTCCACTCACTCTTGGGCCATCCTCTCCTGGAGACCCTGGAGGGCCCGTAGAGCCTTGTTCTCCCTGGAAAACATCACAGCAGAGAAACATCAACAACACCTAACGGAGGTGTTGTCACAACAGAATCCCCACGCTGTCGCAGCAAAGAAAACAAATCCAAATTTACACTTTAAAAAAAAGCTAAGATGTGGGTCAGAGACACGGAGAAAACTGATGGTGGGCAGAAAAGAAACAAAAACAAAACCAGAGAAAATCCTGCCTTTCATCTAAAGTTAGCACGGTCACCACAGCTGCTGCGGATCTACGATATAGGAGCTCAGCTATTCTCAGTGCTCCATAAGAAGCAGCCTACCTCCAGTGGCCCTGTAATTACTCAGTATAGGACAAGGCTTAAAATCCTGTCTACAAATAACACTCTGGGATTTTTCTGTCTTTTTCTCTGGCTCTTCTGTGAATGTCCAGATTCCACAAAAACTCAACTTTGTAGTCTTTTTTTTTGCCTTAAGGCCTGGTTAAAGATGCCTAAGGGGTTATTGAGTCAATGCTTCTTAACTGAGGCAAATGAATTCCACCAGTTGAGAACTCGGGTCTTAAAAGCACAGTTGGATTCAACTGCACTGAACTGATGAGGTTTGTCGGGCGGAAGAATGCAAACGAACACAAAGGAGCTTGAATAACAAACCTGCAGGTTTATTAAGAAAATTAAAAAGAGGTAAACAAAGGTTAATGTGGCAACAATAACAAAAACTACCTGCAGATTCAGCATGGGCTACAGGTAAGACTGGAAGACTAAGGCTGTGTCTCAAATCATGGGTTGCTGCCAACGTAGACCGTGCCTGATGTTGGCCAGTCTTGGGCCTTAGGCCGACCGTGTCAGCTGCATGTGAAATGAGACGGTCTAGTCTACAGAAGACGTATGTTGGCCTGACCACGCGCTGCCTCGTTACCATGTTGATACATTTTATATCACATCGCTTCAGTTGGTTTTTCACGATCTAACTTCACAAAATTCAGTTTTAATAGAAAAACATTTCAAGTAAATAAATAAAAAAGTCTTAATAATTTGGATTTAGCTTCAATATCAGTACTCGTAACTGCACTTTGTTTACATCTCATTGAAACAAAAGTTTTTTCGGTCCGTAACAAATTTCCAAACTCCGTCATGAAAAAAAGCTAACAAAAAACAAAAAACAAAACACCTGTCATTAAATAATAATTAAAAAAGCCTTAGCTGTGTTTGTTTTTCTGTTTACGTAATCTGCTGATGGCGCAATAAATTCTGGGATACCATCGGCCGCGTAGGACATTCAGATTCAGCCGATATTTTGTCAGCCGCATGAGTAAGCGCCCACGAATCATGAACTGACACAGCCTAAATGTTTTGGGGCTGATAAGAACATTGGAAACACCTGGCTTAATGACAACAGGGATGACAACAGGGAACAGGTGTAAGTGGGTGGGGCAGAACCGGGAAGAAAAAACTGGATATGGAAAATTACTGAGAGGGGCAGGAAAACCCAAAGAGGTACAAGAAAGAAACTGAACACAAAGTAAGTACAACAATAAAAAAAATAATCATGAAATTCACTTCAAAAGAGAAAACCAAACATTGAGATGGTGTTTGACAGACAGGTGGACTTTATTACCCTGATCTTTGCAGCTCTAAAGCTTTATAGGTCAGTGATGACTGTAATCAATAAATAATTGAGCCAAGAAATCATCTGATCTTATTTTTGAAGACAGCCTCGAACATTTACCAAACACCCCGTTTTCTTTCTGCAAACTTACCCTATGACCCTTTTCTCCTGGAAGACCAGGGAGTCCATCAAAACCTCGATCACCCTGAAACAAACGAAAAGGCAGACAGATTTAAAAAAATCAAATCAAATCGTCATCGATCATTGTGCCACATCTTCAACCCCCTTTAATTCCCATATTTTCTCTAAAGTACTGCTAATAAACACACTTTTCTAACTTTAAAAAATAAAGCACTTTACCTTGGCCCCTGACTCTCCTGGCATCCCTCGTGCTCCGTCAGCTCCGTTTCGACCCTACAGACAACATCCATTTAGAACACGTGAACATATCTTTAAAAAATGCAGTCTTTGAGGACTGTTAGGAAGACAAGGAGAGAAATCATATTTTTATCCTATTTACAGTTGAATAAACATGACTTCGTGCATTTAAATAAAACACAAACTCAAATATTGGATGCAGCTGAATAATTTGAAATAGGGCCACGTTTAAAACTAAACAGATTTTCCTATCCAGGCACTGCTCTTATTGTTTTAGATTTTCACATTGTTTTGAATATTTTGCAATTTGCACATATCCTTGCGGTGGAGTGAAATGTTTTGGAGAGCAATAATCAAAAAATATAATTAATGCTAAATTAATTGCCTTCAGTCTGATCATAAAGGGCACTTACCCTCTTTCCTGCTTTTCCTGGTGGACCTGTTGGACCTTGAAGACCTCTGGGTCCCTGGAGAGGAATGGAAATGTCTCAGTTCAGATAAGCGTAGGTAAGAAAAAGTGAAAATAAAATAAAAAGCAGGACTTGATGAGTCCATTCGTACCTGTGGCCCAGAATCACCACTGTCACCTTTGAGTCCAGGAGCCCCAGGAGGTCCCTAATTAAAAAGACACCAGCTTGTTGAATAAACATGTCAATGAAGCCTCATGCTTTTATTTTTTGTAACGAAACATAATGCAAAGACAAACATAAATGCTAATCAACCTGTGTGTTTGCTAATAGAAAAGTACTCACCAGAGGACCGGATCTTCCTGTCAGACCAGCAGGTCCAGGAGGACCTCTCATTGTTAACTATGGATCAGACAGACACAGCGTATAAACGTCCAGTCGTTGGATTAAAACTCACTTTTGCAGGTTTGCACGAATCATACAACATACTGTATAAAGAGATGAATCATCCTTTTTTTAAACGAGAAGTTGGGATCGTATTTCTTTTCACTGGGAGCTAAAAAAACAGCATAAAGTTATCTTGAGGTCCCTTGTTTTAACTGCATTTTTTCTGACAATACTGCTGTTTTATTGCAAATCTTGAAAAGCTGTTTTTTTTTTTTTTCAATTTAGTTTAGTTTTAGGAAGACAACCTCATGAAATTGGACATGGCACCAAACAGGACAATGTAATTATTGAAAAAAAAAAAAAACACCAGAAGTAACATAAGTTACCAATCAGTCGGTTTGGTGACACTTTACTTTGTTTACCACGCTGGTTTTCATGGTTAACCACAGTGAGGAACAGCCAGAAAGGTTTGTTCAGCTTTTGTACTCTGACTACTCAATGACAAAGAGCTTTAAACAGAAAATCCATTTGTGCCCCGTTGGGTTTGATTTAATGCCTAACCACAGATATTGGTAAAAAAGTCAGACTTATATACATATATATAT